TTATGATTGCTGATTTGATTTATTACATCGTGGGTAGAGTGTAACGGGGGATCTCGTAGTGATAGGTGGTTGGAATGATTCACTCAGTCGAACTATTCACTATTTAACTTTATTTAATGAATAACACACAACGTCTACACCCGCGTAATACGCACACCGACAGCGTAACGTCTTGCGATAGGACTTGGAAACGAACTCTGCTTCTTCGTCGGTTACGAGGCGTTAAGTAGACTCGATTAGTTGACGTAGATTTGCACCTTGGTCTGCTGATCGAGCTGCTTCTGTGTATTGCCAAATGTGTGTATTGTCAAATTTGCTGGACAGCAGTTGCATTTGGCAATGTCTTTGTCTGTTGCAATATATTTCGGTGCTGTCGTTGCGTTTCTGTAGCGGAGTATTAACCGCTAGCGCGGTCATACTCTTAAACGCGTACTTAACTACTAATTGTTGTAATCGGGGTTACAATATTACAATATTACGAATATTACAAATTTCTTCTTCGGGTGTTCTCATAGTGATTGGGGAACTCTTCGGGGAATCTCCACTCGCGTCTCCGTAGGGATAGGTATTCGAGTAGCGGAGAGCCTCCGTATTTCTCGACCACCGCTGTCTACTTCGTAGTAAGCAAAGCCCGACAGCAGATTGTTACGTGATTTGGCGATGCTTCCAAGGGGGTGGGAAAAAAGTGATGAACGTTATAAGGGTGTCCCCGTAAAAAATGGTCACCCCTTTTTATTTTTAATAGTAATTTCTTTATAATTTTTGTATTATTTTGGAACTGTGTAATACATTGTTGGCTGCCAGAAATCGGCAGGTAGTTGAAGTTTTACGATAGTTGATTTTGGTGCGCAATTGATATGCAGATTTATGTGAGTCGTAATACGGACTCAATTTGACGCAGCGGTTGTACATTCCGTTTTTATCACAATAATAATTGCATCCATCATTATATCAATCTCGTGGAATATAAGAGTCTTTCGGCGAGAGTATATGAATAATAAAAATAAATTATTAATTTTTAGATAATTGTACGTCTGGCTCTCACTCGAGCACTGCTTAAATAATTGGTAAATAACAGTATGTATGGAGGCAGTATGTTTCGTCCATCCTATGAGGGGTTCTACTCTGAAAAAAAAAACTGACTAAATCATCTTTTGGTGTGGGGTGGGTCTTGTTTTGCATAAAAAGTTGTAATAGTAATTTCTTCATCAATTTTTGTATTATTTTGAAACTGTTTTAATACATTGTTGGCTGTTGGAAATTGGCAAATAGTTGAAGTTTTAAAATAATTGATTTTGCAATTTTGTATGTACTACATTATTTCTTTCTGATTAGCTATTTTTTTCACGATGTTTTCCCTGAATAGTTTATTTTTAAGTTAAATATCATAGTTACCACCACATTTTGGTTGGTTTAATCCGTTAAACCACAAATCGAGATGACCTAGAGATTTTTGTAAACCGTGAGCCGACGTGTGAAGAGCTACTACACGTTCGGCACCCTTTTTGCAAAATCTGTTCTTGCAACTTCTTAAACCGAATAGGGGAGTCGCGGGATCGGTACCGATGAGAAGCGGAATTTTGCCGTAACCCAATTTCTGGAGGTTCTTCGTGAAACCATTTATATGCGCGCGCGCCAAGACTGTGGCCCATAAGTGTGATGTTCTTCAACGGAACATGGCACGCGTCGATCACCGATTTGACGTAGCTGCAAGAAAAAAGTTGTACAAGTTATATGTATGTGTAGAACAAAGTCATCGTATCTTATTTAACGTTTGCTCTCGATTGCCGTTCCACATAATTAATGCAATATACGTATAATGCAACATAAATAATGTATAAAACTAAATATCAATAGACGCTACATTTATATTGCATTATACATATATTAATCATTGCATACTACTTATTATATGTTACAGTGCTATTATAGCATTCTGGAAAATGATTACTTCAAATGAAATTTATATTTACAATTTAAATTAAATTACTCGAATATATGAATTCATACTTATTATATCTATACATATTCTTTTATTCAATTACATAACATCGTAAAATAGC